AAGGAAAGGAAAGGGCAGGGAAGGTGAGATTGTGGGAGACTGCCTTTGCTTTATTCTTTGCCTTTAAAATCGGAATGCTTACTCAGCCTTCTTACTCTCAGTGAAGAAGCAGAGCCACTATAAGGGAACTTATTCCTTCTCTTGTATAAACAGAAGCAGAGGTGCCCTGAATACACATATATCAGCAGACTATTGAAGTGGGGGAATGGGTGATAATGTTTCTGGAAATGAGTTCTTAAACAAAAATTAAGAGAGGGGCAGCCTCAGCTTACTGCATTCAGGTCCAAATGGCCTTAATATTTCAGATCCTAGAGAAGAGGAGAATGAAATCTGACACGCTATACTCAGTGTCTTTCAGTGAGAAGCCTGTTTCTAAGCAAGTTGGAAAAAAATATTGACTTTTCCATTTAAACACGTAATTCTGTAAGAGTCACCAAGAATAGGTGGGTAGTCAGAACAAAGGAGATGAAAATTGCTCACATTTAGTACACATCAGCCTTATTTGCTGTAATTTCTGTATCTCTGTACAAAATAATGTCAAGTTTGTCTTTTAACTCAAAACTCACATTTTTAAAATAATAAAATAGACTCCTTTAAAATCTTTTTTTTTTCCTGTTGTCCAAATGTACATGCATCATACAGAGAAAGAGGGGAGAGGTAAGAGGAGGGAGATAAAACACCCCTCAATGAAGTATGGTCAGACCACATTCCTTTTTCTTTATTTTTCCATTCCATCAGAATCAGGAGTGCACACACACGCACATGTCAGACATAATTTTTAGGCTGCTGTACTAGGATCTGAACCATTGTAGGCCAGGTGGGATCTGGCTCCCTAGGACTTAACCACTGTGTTACAGGGCCGGCCCCATAAAATAGCCTTAAATGAAGTTTATTGATTTATTCCATGAGTGAGTGACAGACAGACAGAAACAGGGACAAAGATACAACACCTCTGGTGGGTCTTGACACGATGATCTACCCCCAGCTTCCACCAGTCCATATTACAAGCACAAGTGTGCCCAGCGTACTTGGGAAGGTCTCAGGACTCACAGTGGCAACAATCCAATGTCAGTTGTGTTTTACTGTTGTGCCACATCATGGCCTTTTACAAAAACAAATGGGGTGGTAATTACTTTGAGGGGTTACTGGCCACGAAGAGAGCAGAGAAAATGTTCTGGGGTGATGGGAATGTTCTAAATCTGGATCTGAATGTTTGTTAACCAGGCGGATATGGATGTAAAAAGTTACTGTGCTGTAATTTAAAATCTGTGTTTTTACTGTATTTAATGTATAATTCAGTGGGGAAAAAATGAAAAAAATGAGTAAAGTAAACCTAGATTTCAGGCCTTCAGCTGCATGGTACACTAGACATCATAAATTAAAGGATCTGAAACTCATGCAGGGGTTGATTAGATCTTTACAATCTCCATTTGCTCAGCTGATGACATGATTTAACAAATTGTGGAGCTGTTAGCTCTCCTCCTTATTATTGGCACCCATCAGGTTCCAGTACAGAACCTATTTGGAAAGGAAATTAGAAAAACAAAAAAGAAAGAGAATACCCACTGAGCTCTCCACCTAGGCAAGATTCAGAGGTAGTCTTTTGTTGAGAATTTCTCTCAATGGGGTTTTCCATGCTCTTAATGGTTTTGATCTCCCAAATTCTGGGCCCATTTAGGATTGTTAGATCTGCCACAAAAGCAGAGATAATTGTGTGGTCTCTGTTTCCTGAATAAATGTAGAAGGTTCAAAACGAAACAAATTCAGCAAGCCTCTGATTAGGCATATTAAAGTTGGGTGGTTTCCAACAGCAAACAATATATAGTTGAATTCTGTGTTGCTTGTTCTTTTAGGCCTGTATTTATTCCCACTATTATTTTCTAATTTCTCACAAGTGAACTTTTCAAAATCATAATGAAATTTCCAGATTTCTTGATTTTGATTCACTTAAGGAAATTATCCACATGCTACCTGACTATTTTCATATGATGAACATTTTTTAAAAATTTCTTTTTGAATTGTAAATTGACAAATTATACTTGTATATATTCATGGAATACAAAGTGATGTTACCACTTATAAAGATGATGTGGCATAATTAAATGAAGCAAATAAACATATCCATCACCTCAAATACTTTTTTTTTCATGGTGGCAACATTTGAAATTTACTGTGACTTCGAAATGTAAATTATTTACTATATTTGCTATACTGGGTAATACATCTAAAAGAAAATAAAATGATTTCTCCTGTTGAATTGAAGCTTTGTACCCTTTTGCAGCATTATTCACAATAGCCAAACTGCAGATAAACATATTTTTGTAAGATGCAAATATTTCCTTTTTAAAAACTAGAAAATAGGGCCAGCAGGTGGTGTGGTGGTTAAGGTGTTAGACTCTCACATGGTCCACTGCGGTTGAGTCCCAGACCTGGCAGCTTGCTTTCTCACTTTCCCACAGTCTCTCTCTGGTGAGTGCACATGTCCTATAGCAAATTAAAAATTAATAATGATAATGAATAAAATTAAACAAAACAATTAACCAAAAGAGATTCTTTTTAATAACATTTTTAAGCCTATGGATCCTGCTGAGTTTCCCCCCCACTTAATTGTCAGACTTTTTGTTGTTGTAAAAGATTTTCATTTTGATTCTTTTATCTGCCCTTATTTTAAAGAGTTCATAGCATTAATTTCAATAAAATCGTGTTTTCCAAAATAAATAAATAAAGACTTCATGCAAGGAAAAAGTAACCAAAATCTATATATGTGTATAAAGGAACCCTACAATGGACACAAATTATTTTTCCTGTCTAAAATATAATTCTTAAGTCTGTTGTTTAGAACTCAAAACCATTTCTTTTTCCTTTAGAAACTTAGAGTTGGGATCAGTAGATGGCATGGTGGTTAGGGTGCTGGACTCTCACATGGCTAATACAGTTCGAGTCCTGGACCTGGCAGCTTGCTTTCTCCCTCCCTCTCTCTATCTCCTTCTGGTCAAATTGAAGAAGAAGATTAAATAAAATAAAATAAATAATACTTTTTTTAAAAAAAGAAAGAAATACAGTGTTTGAGTTCTCAGATCAGTGGACAGAAACTAGCCAATTTATTTAGCAGTGAAGGTAAAACAATGTATGTTTATGACTAAATTCTTTTGTGCGTGTTTAGGACATGTGCACGCTCTGGAGAGAGAAAAAGAGGGAAAATGTGAAAGCATCTCCCTGGGGGGGATGACCACACTACAATCCCTTCTGCTCCATTATCCTCTCAAGATTTTGAGCACACATGTACATGTGCTTGGTGTCATTTTCAAGCCACTGGGTCCAGGACTCAAACTGTGTAGTTGGCCATGTGGGATCCAGTTGTCTTAACTATTATGTCACTGGCTGGCTCTATGACAAAATAATAATAATTACAATAATAGTCAAAATAAAATAGAATTGTATAACTTTACCTTGAGCTACTGCTTGAAGAAAGGCGTATTTAATCACATGAAGATGAAAAAGCTCATGAACAGTTTTTATGGACATTTTCAAATAACCTATACTTTTGGCAATACAGATAATACAGAATAAAGAATAAAAACAAAGTATGAATCATCTAACTAGAAACATCTACTCTTAATACAGTGGTGTGTTTATTTCCAAGATGAAAAACATGTTTTTATGTAATTGAGATCACACTGTACTGCTTAGTATCTTGCTTTTCCCAATCATTGTCGTATTATTACAACTTTGAAGATTGTCAGCATGGATTCTTTGTCTAAAATCACTTAAAGTCCCAAATATTTATCTTTTTTTTAAAAGTAAGTGTGCAACAATTTTGTTACTTGTTTTTTACTTCAATAGAAGGTAAATTGAAGCAGAGAAAGGAAAATGAAGAAAGCCAGGAGGGGAGAGTAAGAATGAGCATGACAGCAAAAAAGAGTTTATGTAACAGAGTCAGAGTGGTCCTTAGATATAAGAGGTGTTTGAGATAAAATGAACAGTGCACTTTAGACTAACAGGGATTCTAGTACTAGAGTCAAATGCAAATCAACATCACTTGTACTGCCTCATTATTTGATTGATGAAGAAACAAATGTTTAGTAAGTTTAAGGTCTTGCTTAGGGGACAGAGAGCTTGAGGCAATACTGGGAAGGGAAGCCAGATCTCCTGATTCTCAATTCTAACTTCCTTATTCAAGCCTCTAAGGTATAAAAAAATTGAAGAGCAAAAGGTGTGTAACGTCCCTCAAAGACTGAAAAAAAAATGGTGGAAAAGAGATGGTAACTCAATGAATATCCTAGTATAAGGCTTGGCTGGCACTAGATAGAGCTCAGAAGAGTTAAGGACATGAGAAAGGGGAGTAGAATAGCCCCTACTGGGTGCAGAGAGGCAAACATTGTGTAAAAATCATCACTCTTAAGTGGGTTTTTCTAGCCCAGAGACTATTTGCTCTAGAATTGTCATGTAGAATGAGTGCCACAATATGTGTTAATCTATCCATGTAGATTAGTAAATAAAAATGTTGTGGAGTCATTTGACCATTTGGTGAAAGAAGAACTAGTATTTATCATAATCAACTATCCTCGTCACATCATTTTTTGTCCTTGATGCCAAGTCCACTTATCCAAGATATAATCTAAAACACTATAAGAAACCTTGGTCTTTTGGACATCAGTGTGGGCAACAACCTGTTTTTATTACATCATTTATCAGTAGTCCTCTTAATTCCAGAATAAACTTGCAACCAGTGCCATTGGTAGTGGTGGTGATGGAGCAGAGTCAGAGGATGGAAGATGGGAAACACAAAGTAATGGATTATGGTGAAATTCTATGTTTTAAAAATTTACCACTGACAACTCTTAATTTGAAAATGGAAAGTGCTGCCTTTAATATGATCTTAGATTTCATTATTTGAATCACTGTCACTTTGCTTAATGCCAAACGTACTTTTGTTTATTTCTCAAGAATCAGACCTCACAGATTTAAAACTTATTTTTCATTTCTTTTTCTTGGCCAAGACTCACCTTGACCTTATCCTGTCCCATGGACTTGAAGAACTTTCCAATGGATGTCCAGACCTGCACAATGCAGCTGGAGAGCTGTAAGTCACCACTGTGGAAATGACTGCCTGCTTATTTTAGCCAATGACCTGGTTTTTTCTGTATCTCATTAAGAAGAAAAGACCCATAGACTCATTCCCTACCTATTCACTAACCCCAAATGTCCTAATGGAAGGATAAACAAGTGTGTGTTTGTGTGTGTGTGTGTGTGTGTGTGTGTGCACATGCATATGTACGCCTCATATCAATGCTTATCATTGATACAGTATAGACACACTTTCAAAGTAAAATATCAAATAGCTTGGCCTTCCTCAAAAAATAAGCATGATTTAATAAGCTTTTCTTTGAAATGAAAATGCCTCCTGGGAAAATTAAGATTATTAGTCATTCAGCCTTTATAAGGAATCATTCTCTAATCAGAAAATTGTATTTTTTTTCCATCTTATGCCCATATAGACCATCACTCCCAAAGGAATTCTGGCAGGAAGGGATAATTGCTTTGAGAACATTACACAGGGGCCTTAGCCAGAGAAGAATGCAAAAATGAGAGGCATGAGATGAGAGATGAAATGAAGTAAGACAGAGTAAGAGGCATCTCCCTTAAATAAGCAGTAGAGACACACCATCTACTTTGTCCCCTTTATGCCCTAGCCCTGGTGCCACTGAAATCTTGACATGTGCCACACGTTGCTGATGCCTCCAAGGTAATGGGATTTTCAGTTATGACACATGAAAAATTTTATAGCTTCTTCTATCAGTTTCTTTGTTTGTAAAATGTGGGAAATAATAAGCACTACTGTGACCTACAGGGATGTTAGGAAATTTAATGAGGCAGGAGCAGGAAAATACTTTTAACTTCTTGTTTTAGAAAAATACTAAGTCTAAAAAGACACATCAACTATTGTTAAAAAAAATAATTCGTCTTTTCCCCTATTCCCCCTCCTTGTGAGAAGAAAGTTGAGAAAAACATTTTCTTATATAATGATTCCTCCTTTGTGTCTTCTTTACTGCTCTACTGTCTCAGCCCTACATCTTTATTTTCTCTGTAAAACAGTAGCCATAGCTGTCAGCTAAGTCTCATCTAAGGCTTAAAAAACTTCTATTAGTAAATATGCTTGGTCTTTGCAGAACCTAGAAATAATAGAATCAAAGCAGCAGCAATGTGATTACCATGAACTTTAGATACAACTGGTAGGGAATACTTTTTACTTTTCTACGCTGATATTACCTCTACCTTCTTTACCTTTTTACCTCTGCTGTCTGATCTATGCTTGGGGCATCAGAGAGGCCAATGGGGATCATTATTGTGGTGGCTACTGAGAAGTTTGCCAGACAAGGACATGGGGTATTCAGTGAGCTTCAAATTGTTTGCTGGAGGTACCAGGATGTCTTTATTCAGTGTTGCAGTAAAAGAGTCAGGGTTTGTCATTCTTTTTATGTGCCACCAATGCCTGTATGGGGTCTGTAACTCTTTGCTTTCCATGTTTTTATATTTTGACTTTGAATCAAAATGGTGGTTCAAAGAAATAGAGTAGATTCCAATTAAATTTGCCATTGATTTTTACTTTGGTGAGTCACAACTTTGCAGTAAACAAGAATAAGAATCTATAAACTTAAGCAAAAACACGCTGAGGTTATTGGCCAGTCACAGACCTCATAATATCCTTTATCCTTATCACTCTCATTTAAAAAAATCTTTTTATACTCTCATTTTAAGAGTTCAGATATCACAAACAAAGAGGGAAGGTAGAAAAAGGTGACATATGAAAGAAGAGTAGCCTTCCTTTCTGGGGTAAAGAAAGATGCAGAAGCACTAAATAATGACCTAGTTAGCAGGAGCTTGGAAACTAAGAGTTGTCTTTGATTTACTAAAACCAAAGATAAGCTTACCTTGAGCAGTTTGAGTCATATATAACAATAGGACATGATATAATAGGGAATCTGTTTTACTTCATATTAACAATTACATTTTACTTCATAGTAATAATTATAATTAATAGTTAGCAAGACACTAGCACAAATGAATATGGTTACTTAGCATATCCTGCAACTTCCTTTTAGGTTATCTATCTATACCTTTCCCCATTTGCTATCATAACATAAGCTTTCTGAAAGTAAAGCTAGTAGACCCCGGGAAGGAGGGTAATTTGCAATGGGAATGCTTTAGGCAGGCTCATGATCAATTCATTCTTATTTAAAAAAAAAATAGAATGGGGACCAGCAGATGACATAATGGCTACATCATTGAACTCCCACATGGCCAACTATGGTTCAAGTCCCGTTCCCAGCACCTTGAAACTCACACCAGGCACATGTGCATGTGTCCCCAAAACTCCAAGAGGAGAATAGAGGAGAAGGGTTTGCAGTGTGGCAATACATACTAAAACTGACTGGTGAATTGGATTCTCTTATTGGATTGCCACAGACATAGCTTTTGCAAGTAAAGACAATTTCAAAGGATTTTTATGTTCATTTGTTTGCTCCGCAGAAATCGTGAATAATGTGACAGAAGAAAATAGACTTCATAGATAGATTCCATTCTCTCATTACACAGAAAAAAAGAATCATCCAGAAACAGCTTGCTATCTTCACTTTCTTTGGCTCCAATGTCATGTAGTTATTGTGATGATTGTACCTCTTTCATTAAAAATTGCTGTGAACTGACTGGGCATGTGTCTGCTTTAGACTATTTCCTTGTTTGTTTCCTTACATGGCTAGATTTAAGAGCTTTCTTGAAAAGACACATTCAATTTTTCATTATGATTTCTTTACTCTAGTTGGTTATACAATGAATGACCTGATATTTGAGTGGTTAAGTGATGGGCCAGTGCAAGTTGCTGAAGGACTGACCCTGCCCCAGTTTATTCTGAAAGAAGAGAAGGAACTTGGTTACTGTACAAAGCACTACAACACTGGTAAGTATTTTGGGGCATGATAAACCCAAGTGGTTTCCATTTGCAACTCCAGGTATATATCCTATAATCTTGATTGTTGCAATATTTTGCAAGTAATGGAACTACATGATATAGATCTGTTTTGGTTAAAAATTCCTTCAACAGGTAAGATTCCTGTTCCTTCTGAAGTAGGTCAGTGAACATAACAGATAGCTTCTACAGAACATGGAGACAAGTAGAGAAAATTGGGAAATTTTTGCTATTCTTTTGCCAACCATCTGTTGTCAAATAAATCTGAGGAAAGGTGTAGAAGACTTCATTAGTGGTTCAAGAAAAGTCTGAATTCTGGCTCCTTTTTGGCATTTTTTTTTAAAATAATAGAGTGCCTGCATATGTGTGTGTGAGAATGGCACAGCCCTCAACAGGGTCTCATCACACTGTGATCACCTCTTCCCAGCCTCCAGTTCCTCAGGATCCTTGGCACCGACATGCATGCCTGGCATGTTTCCAGGCCAATCCAGGGTCCAAATCCATGGTTGGCTATGTGCCTTCCAGATTTGTATGACACTATGTTACTGCTGCACCACAGTGTCTGTGCTTGGCATCCACCCTTGACATGGGATCCTCAGGTCAATTTGCAGTCTCTGCCTTAGTGGAAGAGAGGGATAACAATATAGACATATTTAAAACCTAGAAATAGAGCTGTTTTGGTCTCCAGTCTTGGGCCCTAATGGAGTTTGCAAGAAAATCAGCTGGTGGGAATTCGGCTGTCTCTAAAGCCATGTGTTATCAGTAGTGCTGACAGACACACAGGGTAGAGTGGAGAATTGAGGTGATAGCAACAAACAGGCATCTGTTATTGCCTGGAAGATTCTACCTGCCCAGTAAAGCTGATGACTTTTCCTGTGAATGTCCTGATTTTCAATAACATGCAAACTGAATATGGAGGGTCAATCAAGACATGATGGTTTGTCCAGTGACTGGCCTAGGTCACTTGTTAAGGAGTATCATTCATGAACACTTGTTCCAGCAGTCAACAGTGACTTCCTATGAAGCAACTAAAATCAGACTCTAAGGTGTTCCTTTTGACCAAGAAGAACCCAACTTTATCTTATAATTTGTGTGAATTAAGCCAAATTACCTTCTGGGGTTCTAACTCCAAGCCAACTAAAGAGGGAAAAAAGTAGAAACAGGCAGGAACATCTCTTTCTTAGTAGTATGCTAAAAGCATTTTTTTTCCTTCTTTTTACTGTAAATGTGAAAATTTTCTGCCAATTTGAAGTTTATTTAAAAAAATCATTTAAATTTTGTACACATATACACCCATGTTTGTTAAACACATACAATTCTAAGAACTGACATTTTCTGGGTATGCTGTGCCTGGTACTTTACATATAGTTCGTATTTAATTATCACAGCCATTTTACAACATACAGTCTATCCTTGTTTTATAAATAAATAAACAGAAACACAAAAAGCTAAGTAGGTTGCCTTAAATCACACAGTTAGTTAGTGAAGAAAAGATTTAAAAATTACAATGTCATTCATAAGCATACAGGCTCTGCATTCTGACTTTGGAATCACTAAGCGTCTCTTACAACTGCCTATCTTAACTGTGGTTTCCAGTTTTTCATTAGAGTAAGAGAATTACTATTTGAAAAGCATGAATCTGTTTCACCTACTCCCATTCATAATAGCATAAACTAGTGTAAAAGCTTTAATATCTTTATATAAATTATTTTTTATAGACAAAATAGCACTGTGAACTATTTCTAGGAATCTTCTAAATATCCCCTAGGCAATAACCACAAGGCTAGCAAATATTCTATGGATAACACAAAGATAAACTCAGTTTTATTCAAATACTTTTGGAACTCCCTTCCCTCACCCTCTGGTAAACTTTCCTAGTTATAACGGAATGGTTTCAAAAAATTAAATATACTAATCCCACTCCTTGGTATTTACCCAAGGGATAGGAAAACACTCTGTCAGAAAGACACTTGCACATCTGTATTTATTACAGTATTATTTACAATTGCTAAGTCAAAAAATCAATCAAAACTAAGTGTCCAAAACTAATGACTGGGTTGAATAACTATGGCACATATACACTACAGAATATTATTCATCCATAAGAAACAATGAGACCCTATTGTCTGATGCAAAGTGGATGAATGTAGAGGGCTTAATGTTAAGGGAAGTGAGCCAGACTTTAAAAGGTACACACTATAGGGACCAGCAGTTAGCGTAATGGCTATGTCGCTGGACTCCCATGTAGTCGAC